GTGCTAAAGCTATAAAAGGGGTTAGAGCAGGACAAAAGGGGCTGACAAAACCCCTTCTTACCACCTGAGATGTCTTCTGAATCTAACAAAGACTGTACTGGGGAAAGGACTGGGCCCAAACTAGGAAGGAGTCTAGTCTGTGAAAGAAGCTTATTAGACTATCTCTGAGGGTGAGATATTACCTGTAATCAATTTCTTAATGTATTAGGCTTAGACTTGCGTGTTTTTGCTTTATTTTGCTTGGTGACTTACTTTGTCTGTTATTACTTGAAACCACTTAAATACTACTTTTTACACTTAATAAAATCACTTTTGTTTCTTAATAAACCCAGAGTAAGTGATTAATACCTGGGGAAGCAAACAGCTCTGCATCTCTCTCTATCAGTGTTCTAGAGGGCGGACAATTTATGAATTTACCCTGTATAAGCTTTATACAGAGTAAAACAGATTTATTTGTGGTTTGGATCCCATTGGGGGCTGGGAGTCTGGATGCTAGAGACAGGTATCCTGCTGAGCAGTTTTTAGTTGAAGTCTGAAGCTCTGGGGGTGTGGCCCAGACCTGGATCTGTGTTTCAGCAGGCTAGCGTGTCTGTCTCAACAAGGCAGGATTCTGGAGTCCCAAGCTGGCAGGGAAAACGGGCTCAGAGGTAATTTCAGCACGTCAGGTGACACTCCCAAGAGGATCTCTGTGACGGAATCCATCACAAGGTCCATCAATGGCTATTAGCCAGAATGGGCAGGGATGGTCTCCCTAGCCTGTTTCCCAGAAGCTGGGAATGGGCAATAGGGGATGGATCACTTGATGATTACCTGTTCTGTTCATTCCCTCTGGGGCACCTGGCATTGGCCACTTTCAGAAAGCAGGATACTGGGCTACATGGACCTTTGGTTTGACCCAGCATGGCCATTCTTATGTTCTGTAGTGACCTTAACATCCCATGTAGACAGTGCTATGACGGTGGGAGAGCTTCTCCACCTCTCCATCTCACGGAGGTGGAGTAACTAAGCCGACAGGAGAGCTCTCTCCCATTGGCTTAGAGCGTCTTCATCAAAGCGCAACAGTGGTGCAGCTGCATCAGATGCAGCATTTGCAGTGTCCTGAGAGTGACTCATCTAAATACAAGATTGAACAGATAGTTTAGCTTTAGTAGTTAGCACGTATTCTAAGGGACCATTCAAAGTGAAGTGGCCCATTAACACTCCTGTAGTCACAGGACAAAAAGGGGAGTTAGTGTTAGTTTGCTGAGGCATTTTGTATAGAATTAAGGGAAGTCAGGTGAGAAGCAGGGTGGGATAAAGGAGATTGAAGTGGTAGTCAAGGTGGGAGATGGCTCTGATATGGGCCATGGGTTTTGCAGGGAGAATGGAGAGGAAGGATGGATGGATTTTGGAGCTACTGAACAGGAAGAAACTGATGAGAAGGCCGGGGGGAGGGGGGGGGGAGCCAGATACCTGTTTTTTTGTAAGGCCCTACCAATAAGGCTCAGCTCTCTCTCTACTCTCAGCTGCTGGAAAGGAGGATGGTGCCTGGATTAGTGCCAGAGTGCCCTTTCTAGACCTTGCTCCTGGGCTCCATTGTTTATATAAGCCTCTGATTTATAGCTCTCCAACCCTCTCTCTCTCTCTCCTCTGCATTTACCAGGTCTGGGGCCCATTGTGCTAGGTACTGTAGGACATAATAATGATGGTCCTTGCCTCAAAAAGTTTATTCACTGATGCCCATAGGTTCTACATAGGCCATGTCTATACTACAGGGACTACAGCAGCAAAGCTATGGTGCTGTAGCTGTGCCAGCAAAATACCATAGTGCAGCTGCAGCCTTCAGTGATGGAAGGTGTTTTTCCATCTCTGTAGGAACACCACCTTCCTGAGCAACAGTAGCTAGGTTGATTGAAATATTCTTCCATTGGCCTAGCTGCGTCTACACCGGCTATTATGTTAGCATAGCTATGGAGCTCAGGGATTTTTCACACACCCCAGGGCCACAGCTATGCCAACCTCAATTTTAAGTGATCAGACCATAGCTGCCTACAAACTCATGAACAACACAGACTGATATTCAGAAGTTGATCTTTGCATTCATTAGAGCTAGGAATTTTATTTTAAATATAAAATTGAATTCTACAAGAATAGATGGCTTAAATCCCACCAGTAATGAGGTAAAGTCCTGTTTCCTCTTCTCCCTCTTGTTCTCCCCCCCCCCCAACCTTTTCCAACAGTTAAGGTCCTTCCCCCCCCCCCCTTCTTCTTTTGTAAGTTCTAACAGGCAGGACTTCGCAAGAGCCCAGATGTGCATGGTGGAAAGAAAGAGAGTCAAATACAACACTAAGGGCTTGTCTACACTAGCACTTCACAGCGCTGCAACTTTCTCGCTCAGGGATGTGAAAAAACACCTCCCTGAGCACAGCAAGTTTCAGCGCTGTAAAGCGCCAGTATAGACAGTGCGCCAGCTACGCCCCTCATGGAGGTGTGTTTTTTAGAGCGCTGGGAGAGCTCTTTCCCAGAGCTCTGCCGCGACTACATAAGCCATGTTAAAGCGCTGCCGCGGCAGCGCGTTAGCATCGCCAGTGTAGACTAGCCCTAAGTTAGTAATTTTGGGCAACAGGCAAGATAGTTAAATCCTTAACTGTGAAAAGAGGGACCAGAGAAGAATTAAGGAGAAAGGTGAGAAGTTCAGGTTTGCCTCCTCTTGATCATGAATTTGAGCTGGTGAAAGTAAGTCCAGGAAGAGATACCAGAGAGTTGAAGATGTGAGGCTGAACAGATAGGAAGAGAAATGGATTTTGGAGTCAACAGCAGAGAAAAAGGCAACCACAACCATGAGATCACTGAGGGACAGAATATGTGGAAGTGCCTGTTGTTAAATCTCTAAATTCTTTATTATTCATACAGAGTCAGAGCTGCACTGTTTTTAGTGGGGCCAAACCCAGTTAAGCTTAAAAAGATGTTTTCCTTAATTAAAACCAGTTTCCAAACCACCTCACCTCTCCCACAGTTATTCAATGAGTAACAAAGATCCAAGTTTCAGAGACTTCCTCAGACAATATGAGGTTCTGTAATACATTCCAAATCAGAAAAAGGGTCACCACTTACTCCCTGCACATGGAGAGCTGGACCCAGATTTTAATGCCAATTGTTATTGCTAAATGACTCTCCCTTGGATTGTGTTTTACAAAAACCCTTTTTAAGTGTTTCTGACACCATAACACATTTTTGAGTCTCAAAACTGAGTAATAAGCCAAAGAGAAGGGATATGGGAGCTCCAAGAGGGAAATATACAGAATATATGTATGATGGGGTTAAGCATACTAAATAGAAAATAAAAGGTATACAAAGCTTGAGAATCAAAGGCCACTAGACTGATACAAAACTTCAGCTTCAAAAGGCTAACGAACGCGTATCAGAAATCCAGTTTCAGAAAAGATATGCATTTTCCATACATGGTCTTTCCACAAATAGGCTAAAGGCAAAGAAGTTTTTAGTATTACTGTTGGGATGCTAACCGTGACAATGTAAACCCACACACCATGTGTTTTTGACTCTGTAGCTAGACTGAAATAATAGCACTGGGTGAAGCATATACTTCCCCTATCTTAATGAGGTGCTATGGTTGCATTTTAATAATTATCACAAATTCCAACATTCATTATTTAACTGCTGGCTGTTAGTGAGTTTTCCTAAGAAAGATGGATGGTTACTCCTGTCATGTACTGATGTTCCATGGCAATAAGGTTGCAAGTTTTGAATATAACTATAGCTACTCTTTTGATTGTACAGGAAATTAAAATGTTAGCCACTTAAAAATTAGGACAAACAGGTGAGTATACCATCTGTAATAAAGTTGCTTGCACAGTCCCGTGGGGTTTCTACAGAACTTGTTCCAGGAAGAGTGAAGGCAGTTCTGTTTAATAAGCAAATACACAATTGAATCCATCTGTATATAAAGCTGTATAAACTGCAGCAATGCTATCAGCATTCATAGTGAATGAAAGTTAATAGCACTGAGACTGTCTTCTTCACAGAGATGGTCATTGCACAAGTACCTTTAAAATGTTCCTCCCTGCGCTTTATAATGTATATCCTCTATCATTATGTAAGATCGGAACCAGGAAAACAGTAACCTTTGTAGAAATTAACCCTGCATATTACCTACAACTTGTTGTGATCTTTCTTCCTTGTTTGTTTAGCTTTAGAACAGGGCTAATTAACCAAAGATTAACAAATCATCCGTACAGTTGCTGTAAGATTGGTTACCACTTTAATCCTGTGGATACTCAGACACACGGATAAACCAGGCATGGATTAACCAGGTCAAACTATATACAGCCCTGAGACCAACTAAGAAACCATAATTCATGGTTAGATTGGCAGAGTTAAGTTTCCCAGCTGCCAGAGATAAAGCAAATTGATAGAGTAAGGAGGATCAGACTCAAAGGAGGAAATCCCCTCCCGCAAAATGGCCAAGGGGCAGCATTAGCTAGTAGCCCCATTTTCTTAGCCTTGTCCTCGTGGAGTTCAATGTTGCCTTTTGCTCTGGCAAACCAGAGAAGGGATCACGTTAGGTCCCGATTCCGGGTTTCGGGTATGTATGGTTTGGGAGTTTTCGCAGTTAAGGCGCTGACGGGGCCCCATTCTCTAGCCTTAGATCAACTGCACTAGGTCCTGCTCCAGCTGAGAGGAGCTTGCAAAGTCTGCTGCCTTGCAACCCCCCACCCCCACGTGGGTTAGCAAGCCAGGGAGCAAAGGGGAAGCTACTAGGGAAGGGAGAGGGCACAGAAGGAAAAACCTCAGACAAACACCACACACACACACACACACACACACAACAAAACACCTGGGCGCAGAAGTCCCGGGGATCAGACTGGGACAAGCAAGAGCCTGAGCCTTGTGTGGCTGGGACAGGCCCCCTCCGAGCTGGCTCTGCTGCCCCCCCCGCAGGGTGCCCAAGTCTGATAGCAGTGCCCCCTGCTAGCTCCCCGGGGAGGAAGGGGGGAACTCACCCAGCTTCTCCGCCTGCAGCCACGGCGGGGCAGAGAGTCCGAGCAGCAGCGCCAGGAGCGCGGAGCGGGCAGCCCGCAGTCCCCCGCTGCAGCCCATGGCTCTGCCTCCTGAGGGGGAAGGGGGGGGACAACTTTCCCCACTCTTTGCTGCTGCTGCTCCTTCGCCGGGGGCTGCTCTGCTGCCGAGAGGCTCCTTCAGACCAGGCAGCCAGTGTCTGCGTGTGGGGTGGCGGGGCACCCGCCTGGCCCCGAGCCGAGGGGCGCTGTGCGAGCGAGGGGCTGCGGTGCGGCTGCTCCCTCCTGTCCCGCCGCCCGCGTCTCTCTCGAGGGCGGCAGCTCCGCATCTCTCCTCCCCCTGCCCAGGAGCTGGGGGTGGGGAAAAGAAACCAGAGGACGGGAAGCACTACCGTTCCCATTGGACCGGGCTGTGGGGCGGTCCCCAGCCTCGCCTCGCCTCTTCCCCCAGCAGAGGTGCAGGCCAGGGTCCAGCGGGGAAGGTGGGCGGGATACAAGTGTCTCTCTCTCGGCTGGCTGAGTTGCAGCTGCGGGTCCTTCCTATCGCTTGTGGCTGTGCCCAGCTTGCATCCCCGCTCATTGCACGGGACAGTGCAGCTGCATGGCCATGCTGCACTGTGACCTTTCTGCTACCGCAAGTGCAGAATTCAAGGGGTTTAGTTTGCAGGGGTTCAGACAAACTTTTGCCCTCAATTTGGATCAGCCTGGGTTCGCGCTTTCAGGGTTTCTCTCTGGCTCTGTGAGTCTGAATCAACCTGAAAATTCAGATGAAACCATGTTTTGCCTGGTTTTGTGTAGTAATCGCGCAAAGCCACTGAAGACGGGTTTGAAATATCACCACCTCCAAATGTCCAAAACATCAGAAGGCCTGCTCTCCTAAAATCATGAGATTAGTCTAAATATTATAAACATACATACACACACATTTTGGTTTTTCTTGTTTGCCTTCTGTTTTTTGAGCCTTTCTGGTGCACATGAGTCACATGCTCAAGCTTTCCTCTGCAACTGTGGGGGCTAAAATTAAAGCTGTTCAGAAATGAAAGCTGACATTGTCACATCTCCACTTGTCTCATGGAGCTTGGGCTTTAAGTACAACATCAAATATTGCAAGAGTTGCAATAAAATCATGAGTGGACAAAACTGAGATTGTGTAACCCTTACTCTTACTTCAACGGGACTGATTGTGAGTAATATAGTCCTGAGTTAGCCTGGATTTTCTACTAGAAAACATAAATTGACTCAAGTTCACCAACAGATTCACAAACCTGGCCTTGAATTTCTAGTTTCTAAACCTGAAACCAAGCCCTTGTCTTCACTAAGCAAAATGGTGTATTTTTAACTCATATTAGCTAACATGTTGAAATCCTAGACTGAGGTTTTCACATACACACCCCTCCCCTCGCTCCAGCTTCTTTGTCATATAAAAAAGCCAGAGCAGCATAAGGGTATGTCTACACTGCAGCTGGGAGCAAGCCACCCAGCCCAGGTAGGCAGACTCCCTCTAACTTGGCTTGAGCTACTACTCTAAAAATAAAAGTATGGACAAAGCAGCTCCAGCAGAGACAGGCTAGCCAGCCAAGCTCAGACCAGGAATCAAAGAAGAAGAACAGCTAGTAAGGTTATATTAGACATTATTATTAGTGTCCTGGAACAGCTATGTGGACCATGAAAACCAATCCAATATGCAAATATGTATTATAAATTATATTGATTTGTATTATATCAGTTCAGTTCTAGAAAACTGCTTTTAAAAATAAGGTGAGATTGGTCTTAACATTTAATTATCTTTGTTTAGAATCCTAGTGGTTAGAGATGAAAAAGACCTGCTAAATCATTGAGTTCAGACCAGGATACAGTCCACCAAAGGAGGTATTAAAATGTCACTCCTTGTCCTTAGTTAGAACACCCTGCTGTCCAATGGAAGTCTTTTGTTTCCATGCCATATCTAGACAGTGCCAAAATAAACTGGGTCCTGAGATCCCTGTGCTTTCTAGTAGGCACCTGTAAACCAAAAATGTGATATGGTATTTACATTACAACACAGACTTTGTCACTAATGTTGTCAGCAGAGCCTGTACTTTTTGATTAGTTGTGACAAAGTGAAACAGGAGGCTAGGAAGGGTTCCAGGATTCCTGTGTATCACATGGCTGTGCGGAATATATAAGGAAGAGGAAGCTGGGGAAGAGGATACAGGGAAAGAGTGTGTTCTCTTTTCTGCTGGGTGGTGGAGGCAGCAAGGTGGTAGGGTCTGGGGGTTGTAGCCAATAGTAGAGTTTACTTTGTGTTCTTTATGTCTTTTGTATTCCAACAGTAAGTCGTGCTTTGCTGAAGAAAAGGCCTTAAAAGGACTTGGGTGTGGTATCTGCTTCCCTTCCTGGGCTGGTGAAACAGCCCACTAGCTTACAGCAGTGTTAGGCTGGAAAGAAAGGACACTCTGCAAGGGCAGGTGAACAGCCTTTTCCTTCTCATGCTGCATGGGCCTCAATTGGAGCTGCTTATATCCTGTATTCTCTGTGTCAAACTGGACCTAAACTCTGCAGCAGGTTCCCCAGATTCTATAATGCTTCAGAGGAAATTTTGGAAATTCTGCAGCTAGTTCAGATAAATGTTAAATATAGGGGTTTTTTAATTTACTTAAATAGGAAAATGAATAATACAATCGTTGCAGTAGCTTCTGTGTTGTTTATTTTGATATTAAATGCAGTTTACTTTAGCTTGCCTCCATGTTGTCAGTTTTCAATATGCGTAGGGTGTCGTTATTAGCTCCCAGTGTTAACTCATTAAGATGAACAGAGCAGTCTGTGCCATGCAGAGCTATTGTTTCAGGGTATCTACAAACTCACGGATGCATCACTGCATTGGTTCACACATGGTTCACGTTTTCAAGTGTTTCTTCTTAAGCAGGAGGCTAAAACATAACTTTTTAACAACAAAAGATGAGATTTTGGGACACAATTCTGGAGCAAGCGTTGAATTCTGCAACTTCAGAATTGTGGACTATAGGGGGCATACTTGTATCTTATAAGTGAGAGAGCTAGGTCACTGCAGGGGTTGTCAGAGCACAGGGATTTTCTATGGTAGTTTGCACCATGTGTTTAAATCTGCTGAATTTGATCCTGTGGCATTTTCATAGATTCATAGATTCTAGGACTGGAAGGGACCTCGAGAGGTCATCGAGTCCAGTCCCCTGCCCTCATGACAGGACCAAATACTGTCTAGACCACCCCTGATAGACATTTATCTAACCTACTCTTAAATATTTCCAGAGATGGAGATTCCACAACTTCCCTAGGCAGTTTATTCCAGTGTTTAACCACCCTGACAGTTAGGAACTTTTTCCTAATGTCCAACATAAACCTCCCTTGCTGCAGTTTAAGCCCATTGCTTCTTGTTCTATCCTTAGAGGCTAAGATGAACAAGTTTTCTCCCTCCTCCTTATGACACCCTTTTAGATACCTGAAAAACTATCATGTCCCCTCTCGGTCTTCTGTTTTCCAAACTAAACAAATCCAATTCTTTCAGCCTTCCTTCATAGGTCATGTTCTCTAGACCTTTAATCATTCTTGTTGTTCTTCTCTGGACCCTCTCCAATTTCTCCACATCTTTCTTGAAATGCGGTGCCCAGAACTGGACACAATACTCCAGTTGAGGCCTAACCAACGCAGAGTAGAGTGGAAGAATGACTTCTTGTCTTGCTCACAACACACCTGTTAATGCATCCCAGAATCATGTTTGCTTTTTTTGCAACAGCATCACACAGTTGACTCATATTTAGCTTGTGGTCCACTATAACCCCTAGATCCCTTTCTGCCGTACTTCTTCCTACACAGTCTCTTCCCATTCTGTATGTGTGAAACTGATTGTTCCTTCCTAAGTAGAGCACTTCGCATTTGTCTTTATTAAACTTCATCCTGTTTACCTCAGACCAATTTTCCAATTTGTCCAGATCATTTTGAATTATGACCCTATCTTCCAAAGCAGTTGCAATCCCTCCCAGTTTGGTATCATCTGCAAACTTAATAAGCGTACTTTGTATGCCAATATCTAAGTCGTTGATGAAGATATTGAACAGAGCCGGTCCTAAAACAGACCCCTGCGGAACCCCACTTGTTATACCTTTCCAGCAGGATTGGGAACCATTAATCACTACTCTCTGAGTATGGTTATCCAGCCAGTGCACCCACCTTATAGTAGCCCCATTTAAGTTGTATTTGCCTAGTTTATTGATAAGAATATCATGCGAGACCGTATCAAATGCCTTACTAAAGTCCAGGTATACCACATCCACCGCTTCTCCCTTATCCACAAGACTCGTTATCCTAGCAAAGAAAGCTATCAGATTGGTTTGACATGATTTGTTCTTTACAAATTTTGACTTCATTAAAGATTTAAGTTTTTTTTCCAGGTGTGTGGATATAATTCAGACTTGTCTCCTACTGATGACTCACTCAGCTCCACTTGTAGCTTACTTTTAGTATGTACATGAGGCCTTCCATTGCAGTTGCTTCTACCAAATAGCACTCAGGATTATTTTTGTGGCCCTGTTAACAGGTATTAATCATTTTCCAGGTCTTACAATGCAACTCCAAATTATTCAGACCTGTAAACTTATATATAAATGCTATTATTGCATCAGAATCCTCTACAGTTAGATTCACTTCAGTGGCTGATTTAGCGTAAAATGATTTACATAATTAAGACTCATGTATATTAAGTATAAAGTAAAGCCAGCTTCCTGTTAACAATAAAGATGTTGCTCCATTAACACTTGGCTTCAGGATAATGTCAACTCAAAGCATTTAGGGAAATTTGTTTGTTCTCTTGGCACAGTGGTGACAGAGAATCAATTTAGGTGGAGGGTAGTGTTATGTTACACTTTTACATGACATCGCTTTCCATATGAATAGTTATATATGCAGTTGCCCTTCTGACGCTTCAAATTGAAAGGCCTTCTAAAGTTTAATACAGGTACCATACAACTAATTAATCTCTAGTATGCCCAGGTGTAGTGATCAGTTTTAAAATATATATGTATTTTGGTGTTCTAATGGGAAATGGGAGGGAAAGGAGAAGAAAATAAACAAATCAAGTAGAGTTTACCTAAGCTTGTCTCACCATCCTGTCAGTGTATACACTCTTCCTTCTGAAAGTGTCTCATTTCATGCCTTGGTTTTTAGAAAAAGAACCCCCGCCTCATTTACACAGATCGGTTT